GGGCAGTATTTTTATGTTTTCACACTATTTGCATAAGTGTATGATAAAGAAATTACATCTAAATATATTCCATAAAAATTACAAAAATTAACAGAGCATTCATGTAAACTGAAGGGGTCATCCTGTCACAAGATTAAATGAAGATTTTGTAGGGTCATGGTTATTAGGGAATTCAAAAAGCATGTTCAGCACAAAGTTGATACACGAAATTGTGCATTTTATAACATTATCAAATAATAAAATAAAATAAATTGGATATTGGTTTAGTTTGAGTGAATTTTAATTATTTAGTGTCTGGCCTTCAGCAAAATGACAATTTTATTCAGCTTATAATCAGACATTTTACATTGGCATTGCATTTGCAGCAGAAAACTGGTTTAGATACATGCATTATATTTATGGCCCCTATAGTTTTTCCCTTGTCAGTCATTCCATCATTCCAGAACAAACAGTTATACAGACTTTTTTTCTAAATGCCTTCATATATTGAGCTGATTTTTAGTATGTTAGCCTGCTATGATGAGTTACAGATCGAGTTTACATTTTGTTCTGCTCAGCCAATTTTTGCAGAAATTACGGGCTTTGGAATTTGAAAATTTCGTGAAAATAACAGTTATACAGACTTTTTTTCTAAACGCTTTCACATATTGAGGTGATTTTTAGTATGTCAGTCTACTATGATGAGTTACAGATTGTGTAAAAGTTTGGTTTAGCTCTGCTGATTTGTGCCGAAATTACATAATTTTGACTTTGAAAATTTCGTGAAAATAACAGTTACACTGACTTTCATTCTCAAATTTACACTCCCTATAAATGCTTCAAGCTTTTTTTGCGAGCCGGTCCATTCATGTCATTCTGACACATCTAGTTGTTTAAATAAAATATTTTTTTGGCAAGCAAATGATGAATGGTTCCAGTAATTTATCTTACATATTGCTTACAACAACCCTGTGTTCAGCTTCTTCTCAACCATTGCTACAAAAAGCTAACCAAGGAACTATCTCCTTGTCAATTTATGGGTTGGTGTTGAAGTGTGGAAACTAAATTTACAAAAATTTACACAAACCTGAAGCTGAGAAAAGTTCAATGATGATATTTTAAAGATTTAAAAGATCCCTGCCATGATACATTTGATACTCTTCACTTGAACTATGCTGTATCTTTGCATTATATGCATGAACATTCATATAAGGAAATGCATGTATGTATTATAGAACTAATACTGTTGATCAGTTCCTTTATGCTGTTCTACAATATAAAACTCTTATATCTAGAGTCTTCACTAGTGCACTTTTTTGTATTTACATCAGAGATCAATTAGTTGTTAACCAATTTTCTTGCAAATGGTCAGTTATATTATTGATTTTATCAAGAGCTATTTGAAACAAATGAATGTGTCAACAAAAAATTCTCAAGCAGAATCTAGGATAATCTAACTTTTCAACTGTCAGATCAATATTGATTATATTTAGTAGCAAGGGTACATTGTTTATCACCCATTTGTAGTCAGTCCGTCATATTGGTTTCCAAATGATAAAGCAAAAACTTCAAATTGCAACCTTTAATGGATATATGGTACTGAAAGGAAGATCCTTCTTGACCTTTGAGGTCACTACATCAAGTTCAAAGTTACTAACATGACAAAAATTAGTTCAGGAAAGGAATTTCAGTGTAAATATTCCAATTTCTTACAAGTGATTGGAACCAAACTCCAAAACCTTATATGGGATTGGAACAAAACGTGCATACAATGTCAAGGTCACAGCTACTATTAATTAACCAAATTAAGTGCAGATAGGAATCTCCCCACTTCTAGAGTCTTTTTACTTCTAAGCTGTAGCTTGCTACAAATAAGATAATCCTTTGGAATATTGTGAGCTTAAGGTTCTGAAATTTGAAAAATAATAAGTTTTCCTGATTTAGTCTATTTCTTTGATACTATAAGCAGTATGTCAGCTATATTTGGTGTAAAGAATTTTTGAAAAATGTACATATTTGTCTAGCAGGCTTCATCTGACCTTGACCTCATTTACATTTTATTGTACATGATTCATTGATAAGGTTAACATGGTTAAGTTTATGTGATACTTGTAGTAAAAGTTTCAACATAAAATCAATCATGATCAGGCAAGACATTTCAGCATGCACACTTGTAATAAGAATTGAATTCAAACTGACTAGTTGCAAGTAAACTGATAAACACATAAATGTTTGTATTCTGTAAACCTGACAAAGGTCAATAATAACTGCATGGTTGTGTGTGTTCATATATATTTAGTCAAAGTAAATGTAGCTTTTAGTTTTATAGTCTTTATTGAATATAACAAAATTTGAATGTATTAAGTGAATTGTGTTATTTTAGATTACAAAACATGTTTGTATTTTTGTAAATCAAAACATTTTAATAAATAAAAAGATATTCAAAGATTTAAAAGTATGTTTTTAAATTCTGAACATTACTATTTTTATACGACCGCAAATGCGGTCGTATATTGGTATGTTGTCGTCGTCGGATGACACATTGGTTTTCGCACAATATCTTTAGTTTAAGTGAATGGATCTCTATGAAATTTTACCATAAGGTTCAATACCACAAAAGGAAGGTTGGGATTGATTTTGGGGGTTATGGTACCAACAGTAAAGGAAAAAGGGGCCAAAAATAAGCATTTTTCTAGTTTTCAGACAATAACTTGTGGAACAGTGTATGGATCTCTCTGAAATTTTACCACAAGTTTCCATACCACAAAGGGATGGTTAGGATTTGCTTTGGGGGGTTATAGCTCAAGTTTAGGAATTAGGGGCAAAAACGGGGGAAAAACAAGGGTGTCCTGGTTAATGGACAAATACTTCAGTACAAAACATGATTTAAAGCAGTGTAAGGGAGGTAATTCAAATACATCATTTAAATTACCTCCCTTACACTGCTTTTAAATTATGCATAAAGTAATGGTTAATGAACAATTAAGACAATTTAAAAGCATTGTAAGGGAGGTAATCCTAATACAACGTTTTGATTACCTCCCTTACACTGCTTTTAAATTATGTTTACAGAAATGCATTTTAAAAAGGAAGACCAGTAAAAATATCTGCAAATGTTGCATCTTTTTTTTTTTACAAAAAAATCCATATGAAAGATTTGACACCATATTTTAAATTCTATTATAAAATAGATTAAGTTAGCACTATTGTAAATTTAAATGAGTAATTATGGTTGCAAACTCCATTGGAAATTTGAATTGAGATTATGACCATATCTTGAGGGAAAGATTTTTTTGGGGGTAAAAGGGGGGGGGGGGGGGGGGGGGGTAAAAAGAAATTGTGGGGGGTCAATTTTTTCTCATTTCAGATTTCTTCGAATATTTTTTTTTTTGCAAAAAAAAAAGTGTGTGTGGGGAAGGGGGGGGGGGGGGATTAATACGCAACAGCATAGTGTATTGCACAAAAGCCAAATAAAAAGGGGGGTGTTTATTTTTTTTTGTGGGGGGAGGGTTGGAAATTCGCAACAGCAAAGTGTATTACACAAAAGCAAAAAATTGAATATAAATTCAAATCATATAACCAATTCTAAGTTCTTTGACTACAGTCGTTCTGTGTCAGAAACCTTTTATGTGTCAAATATTTAATTACAATCATAATTCAGACCTGTATCAATCGAGAATATTGCGTCCATATTTGCCCCAACTGTTCAGGGTTGGACCTCTGTGGTCGTATCCAGGTGTGCTCGGCGAAGCAATTTATTTGTTAGTTGAAATATTCTAAAAAAAATGTCTTCCACGTTAACTATTAAGTAATTTAAAGAGATTCACTAAGTGCTTTGGGGGAAACATGAGTTTTATGATTTTGAAATGAATGCATGAGATCAACTTTTTCAAATAGAGAATCTGAAGTTGAAGATATGTATTTCTTCATAATGAAGACTTCATTGACTGCTGAGAGCATGGTTTTTTCCAGGTAAACTTGTGTGTTGACCTTGCCCAAAGGGTTAGTTTGAGCTATTGCCATCATTTTTCCCCCCTCGTCTTACCTGTTGATTATTTACATTTTCATCTACTCTGGAACTATAAAGGCCACTTTGATACAAACTTTAATCAAACCATATTTGCTTACATGTGGTAAATAATTGTCTCAATGGAAATCATCCTATTTTAATATAGGCAGGAATGGTTTATGTAAGGTCCTTTATGAAAATTCCTATTTATGAATACTGTATATGATCAGATGAAACATTACTGCTAGCAGTCAGTTTTCAAATCACCTTTTCCTGCCATCTTATACTTGAAGGCCAAGTCATTTAACCCTAAACAAAACACCTTATTTCATGCTGTCAATCAAATAAAATACATAACCACTAAAGGCCTTTCTCAATTTTGATTGGTCAAAAATATCGTTTCTTAAATTACAAGCCAAATCCTTTCAAACTTAATAGAAAGGATAATTAGGAGACATATTTAAGAGATTCCTCATTTTGTATTGACCAGGTGACATACATGAGGCAATGATACTACACAGGTTCTATTTAATAATGACAAATCTCCCAATGTACTTTTTTATACAACCGCAAAAAATTTTTTGTGGTCCTATATTGGTATGACGTTGGCGTTGTCGTCGTCCGAAGACATTAGTTTTCGCACTCTAACTTTAGTTTAAGTGAAAGGATCTCAATGAAATTTTACCAAAAGGTTCAATACCACAAAAGGAAGGTGGGGATTGATTTTGGGGGTTATGGTACGAACAGTTAAGGAATTGGAAGCCAAAAAGGGGCCAAAAATAAGCATTTTTGTAACTTCCAGACATAACTTGTGTGTTAGTGTATGGATCTCTCTGACATTGTATCACAAGGTTCCACATCACAAAGGGAATGCTGGGATTGATTTTGGGGGTAATTGCCTCCAAATTTTAGGAATTAGGGGCCAAAAAGGGGCAACAAACAAGCATTTTTCTAGATTCATGACAATAACTTGTGTGTAAGAGTATGGATCTTTATGAAATTGTATTACAAGGTTCCATATCACAAAGGGAAAGCTGGAATTGAGTTTGGGGGTAATTGACCAAAAAGCTTAGGAAGAAGGGGCCAAAAAGGGGCCAAAAATAAGCATTTTTCTAGTTTCCAGACAATAAGTTGTGTTCAAGTTTATGGATCTCTCTGAAATTGTACTGCAAGGTACCATACCACAAAGGGAAGGCTGGGATTGATGTTGGGGGTAATTCCCTCAAAATTTTAGGAATAAGGGGCCATAAAAGGGCAAAAAAACAAGCATTTTTCTAGTTTCAGGACAATAACTTGTGTGTTAGTGTATGGATCTTTATGAAATTGTACTGCAAGGTTCCATATCACAAAGGAAAAGCTGGGTTTGAGTTTGGGGGTAATTGCTCTAAAGGTTTAGGAATTTGGGGCCAAAAAGGGGCCAAAAAACAAGCATTTTTCTAGTTTCCAGACAATAACTTGTGTTCAAGTGTATGGATCTCTCTGAAATTGTACTGCAAGGTACCATACAACAAAGGGAAGGCTGGGATTGAGTTTGGGGGTGATGAATCATAAGGGGGTTCAACAAATTTGGGGGGGGGGGGGGATTTTTTTTTCCTTTTTTTTCTTTAGAATTTTCCATTTTAAATTGGTTATTTCTGATTTATATATAAAAGCAAATAATAATGATATGGTTTGAATAGGTAAATTAAAACTTTTTAAGTTCTTAGACCACTTTCATTCTGTGTCAGAAACCTATGCTGTGTCAAATATTTAATTACAATCCAAATTCAGTGCTGTATCAAGCTTGAATGTTGTATCCATACTTGCCCCAACTGTTCAGTGTTCGACCTCTGCGTTCGTATCAAGCTGCGCCCCAGCGGAGCATTTTATTCTCTTAAGCTACAGAGGCAATCTAAACCAAACCAAAAAATAATTATGGAGGATTATAGATTCAAATACTAAATGTCCTGTTGAAAATATGGCTGACAGATACAATTCTTGATTCTGACTGGTTAATTTTTATACGACCGCAAACATTTTTTTGAGTTCGTATAATGGTATGATGTCGTCGTCGTCTGCTTCGTCTTCCGAAGACATATTGGTTTCCGGACAATAACTTTAGTTTAAGTGAATGGATCTCTATGAAATTTTTTAATAAGGTTCAACACCACAAAAGAAAAGTTGGAATTGATTTTGGGGATGATGGTCCCAACCGTTTAGGAATTAGGGTCCCAAAACAAGCCATTTTTATACGACCGCAAACAAATTTTGTGGTCGTATATTGGTATGACATTGGCGTCGTCGTCGTCCGAAGACATATTGGTTTCCGGACAATAACTTTAGTTTAAGTGAATGGAATTCTATGAAATTTTATCATAAGGTTCAATACCACAAAAGGAAGGTTGGGATTGATTTTGGGGGTTATGGTACCAACAGTTGAGGAATTAGGGGCCAAAAAGGGGCCAAAAATCTTCCAGACATAACTTGTGTGTTAGTGTATGGATCTCTCTGAAATTGCACTGCAAGGTCCCATACTACAAAGGGAATGCTGGGATTGATTTTGGGGGTAATTGCCTCAAAATTTTAGGAATTAGGGGCAAAAAAGGGGCAAAAAAATAAGCATTTTTCTAGTTTCCAGACAATAACTTGTGTGTAAGTGTATGGATCTCTCTGAAATTGTACTACAAGGTTCCATACTACAAAGGAAAGGCTGGGATTGAGTTTTTGGGTTATTGCTCAGAGGGGGGTTTCAAAAAGTTGGGGGGGGGGGGGGGGAATTTTTAAGGGATTCATTTTTTTTTTTTTTAAATTTTTAAAATTAAAGTTTCAAGAAGAAATTTTCAATTGCACAGTATTGCGCAATGGATTTATAAGATCTTTGACCACATTTATTTTGTGTCAGAAACCTATATTATGTCAAAAATTTGATCACAATCCAAAATTCCGACAGTATCAAGCTTGAAAATTGTGTTTAAATTTGCCCCAACTGTTCAGGTTTCGACCTCTGCGGTCATATCAGGCTGCGCTCAGTAAAGCATTTTATTATATTTCATTGACTGGTCTTCTCTGAAACTATGAAGCCATTTCTGTATAGGAATGTAAATATGCATTCATTCCTTGTTTCATGCTATAAAGTTTGATATGTGGCAGCAATTATGCAACATAGGTTCTTACTGTAAGCACATGAATAATGAGCTGCAGATTTGTCATTATTAATGTATGTAATACTTCAAGAGTGTTTGATTTTATTCTGATAAGCTGTTAAAATTAGCGGCATCAGGCAATTCTTTGTTCTGATTTTTCAGTTTTCATATTTCTGTCGTGAAACAAATCTAGTATGGGTTGTGCTCATTGTTGAAGGCTGTACAGTGACCTATAGTCGTGAACTTCTATGTCATTTGGTCTCTGGTGGAGTTGTCTCATTGGCAATCATACCACATCTTCTCATTTTTATAGAAAAGTAAATAATTTCAAACCTGATAGAAATGATTGAGAGACCCTGCTTAAAGAATATTTATATTGGTCAGTTGGTATACATTGGCCATTGTTGTTTATAGATCCAGGTGAAGAAAAAGTCCCTAGAGTCAATTGTTATATGCATGAGGTAAACATAGATTTCTTGAAAAAAAATTTTTTAAATCCAAGAAAAGTCATTCCAATTCTGACTGAAAATAATCCTGTCTTTTATGTTTTTCAGTATGGGCAGTGGAGGATAACAAGTGATGAGGAAGAGAAGAAATATTGGAATAAGAAACATTTTGTTGTAGATAGTTGTTTACAGTCATCTCATCTCACTCTCCATCTTACAATCATAAAACTAGAAATATGTAATTGATATACATGAAACAAATTTGTACACATTCCGTGATCCTTGTTAGGGATTTTTAAACTAAACATAATGCTTGTAGCATGAGTTTTGTCCATGCAATATATGGTTATTATTTATATCTCTCTCTCTCTATATATATATATATATATATATAAGATATAATTAAGTATTCTTGACTATTGATCTGTCAAGTGTCATGAAATAGTTGGATCATGGTTTTGCTAACAATTTTGACAATTTTACATTTTCCCTTTGAAACACTGTTTTTGCCCTTAAAAGTGAATTTAAGTTTTGCCAGAAGAACATCATGATATATTACAATATTTGTACCAAGCATATAAACAGACTTTAGACATATATATTCCATGACTATTGTCACAAAGAACATATTATCAAAGAAGAATTATTTATTCATGTCAGCAAATCTTTTTATTTAGTACATGCATAATTCTTCAATACTGTTATATTCAATAGTGTTAGATAACTCTTTAATACTGTTATATTCAATAGTGTTAGATAACTCTTTAATACTGTTATATTCAATAGTGTTAGATAACTCTTCAATACTGTTATATTCAATAGTGTTAGATAACTCTTCAATACTGTTATATTCAATAGTGTTAGATAACTCTTCAATACTGTTATATTCAATAGTGTTAGATAACTCTTTAATACTGTTATATTCAATAGTGTTAGATAACTCTTCAATACTGTTATATTCAATAGTGTTAGATAACTCTTCAATACTGTTATATTCAATAGTGTTAGATAACTCTTTAATACTGTTATATTCAATAGTGTTAGATAACTCTTCAATACTGTTCTATTCTGTAGTGTTAGATATGCATTTTTGCTGAGTAATGGAGGATAATCAGAATCATATTTTTAATATGCCAAAATCTTTTATGATTACTCAATTTAAACTTGACTGAAAAACTTGCTAAATACTAAAAAGCGTTTCTTTTTATGTTTTAGTTTTTCACACAAATTATGCCTGTATGGCCAAAGATATATACTCAACATCTGAAGTAAAAAGAATTAAACAGTTTTATAAATTAACATTAACCAGATCATTTACTGAGCAAAAAAGTAAAAAAATAAATGAGGGAAGCTGATCAAATCAATTTTAAAGCAGCATCTTGCCATCTACCCAACAACAATGGTTGAAAGATCTGACCATTTTGTAATGTTATAAGTTAATCAGAACATTTTAAACAACTATTTCTTTCGTGAATGATTTTTCTTGATCTCTTAATTTTGAAATGACAATTGATCGTTATTGAGGTTCTTCATTAGGCTTTGATGAAAGCATTTTTTCATTCCCAAGATTAACCACAAATTGTGCATGAGTATAGAGTCATACTTGAATATTTGATTGTGTGATTACCAAGGCAAACCATTGTGACTATTGGAGAATATGATAACCCTTGTCAAAGGCCATGACTTGTTGATTATCTGTTTAATTGGGTTGCTTACTTAATTTATGCGACTTGGTTGTGATAGTAATAGAAAGATTTGATAGTTAAAATCACATTTTGTTTGTATTATCAAGGTGTTTAAAAGTGCTGCTAATTTGTCCTTCAAGGTATAAAACAAAATTCTGTTATCAATTTAAGCTGTCAAGCAGAATAATCTTAAAGAAATATAGATACAAATTAAAATTATTTCGATAAAAGAGCAAAACGATCTTGATGAAATGAAATATTGTTATTAACATATATGTATGACTGGTTTAGATTTTATACTCTGGAATCACCTTTTTTCCATAGATTATTCATTTATTTAATATAATTTAATGATTATTTTTAATATAAATTCTTGTATTTTATTTGATGAAGCAAAAATAAACACTTTTAAGATGGGCAAATAAGTTTGAGACTTTATCAAATTAATATATATCATACATTTTTAGTACATGTGTTTCTAAGTTCTTGTTAGCTTAAGTGTGGTAAACACAAGTAAAGATATGAATGTTATAATTTATTGTATGCTTACAATTGAAAGTTTATTGTTAATTTTGATGACAGATTATTTATTGTTGATCCAGTGCTTATTATAATCAACCCTGTAATTATGTACATTTATAATGGCTGTATTTATTTGCCTTATGTTCAATGCAAATCTTTGCATGTAATTTGTGCAAGGAATATATCATGTCCTTAACCAATCTTGGTATCTTCAACCTCTTTAATCCTTGGATCTATCCTGTTATTTCTTTTTTTATTTTAAATTTGCATAACATTTGTGCAACTATAAGGGATTAAAAGAAACAATTTTGCAGGGATAAAAGTAATATTAGTAGTATTAAAATAAAATATTTTTTTCCAAATCAACATTTAATATATCTGTATAATTCACAGTAAAAAAACATATTGTAGAACATTTTCTTTCAAAAGTAAGTATATATGATGAATGTGGAGGAAATGAAATTGGACTTTATTGAATGCTGAAACAACATGTTTCTCATTCTCCACTATTGTATATAGTATGTTAGAAAAACTCATTCACAGAAATCCTTTGAAACCTTGAACATGTATTGAAAAGATGAACATATGATATGTCAAGCTGTGTGCTTTTTATCATTGAGCAAATAATGTCCATTTGGAATCATATATATATTAGAAGTTAAATTGTATATGATGTTTTATGGAGAGACATTAATGATGTAAAACCATTATATACAAGTTATTAATAAGAAATGACCCTTTTTTGATTATAGCTATTGGAAGAATAAATGACGAATGTACAGAATGTTTGAGGAAAATATTTAAGACACAAATATCTGTTTTATTTAGTCTGGACTCACTCAATGGCAAAATGTTTCTCTTCCAAGATATACAAGATATTTCTCACAAAATTTAAAAAAAAAAATACATGACTGGTTAGTTTAAACATATTTTATTGTTCAAAAGACAAATGGATTAGACACTAGTTTTTGTCAACCTGACAAGTTGAAGTTTATACAGCAGTCATTCAGAATGTCTGTCGGACATCAGCAAATTTCTTCTAAGAATTTGATTAAAAGCAAAAATTAATAGAACCTTTAAATTACATCTGTTAATGTTATTTAAGGATGTACTTAGGTCAGGTTTAGGAATTTTTGTCAGATTTTCGGACTCCTTGGTTTTTTTCCTACGGTACAGGGTAAAATAATTTGCCCCATAACACCCATTTTTCTTTTCATATAAGACTTCAATAGCTCATAAAAGGTCATTTACCAAAATTTAAGCAGATTCTAAATACATTCTTAAAAACATTTAATGCAGAACAGACTGAGTTTCCAGTAAAAATAAATTACCACCTAAATCACTGCATTAATGAAAATAAAAGTAGATAGTGAAACTAGGGATTACATTTATCAGGTCCAGTCATTAGGATGGTGCAATGTTATTTAGTAGAATTTTTTCTTGTCAGTCCCACTTCATTTAATCACATCGTCAGCATAGAGTGTATGTATATTTACTTTTAAAAGAATTACATGTACATGTATATCACTAGGATAATTTTGTAGTAGGTAGCATATTCCTGTTCTATTTATTTTCATGTAAATTTTTAAGTGAGGATTTGAACGTTCCTGATTATCATTCCAAATGTAAATTTGTATGAATGTGATTATTTTGAATGTACTCTGAAAATGATTCAACTGTTTTGTTTTGTTTTTCCTTAGTTTTTGCAAATATTTTAGATATTTTTATTCTTCATACAGAGTTGATTAACTGTATGCGTGATACTTAACTGTTCAGTTCTATGATAGAGAAAAGGTATCTGTTAAAAATTTGAATGTAGAATTAATCTCAAAATTTGAGGGTTTTATTTATATTTGATATTAATTTTGTTAATTTCTTGGGTACGGACAGTGCAGATGATTCTACAAAATGTAGATTTTTTCATTTGCCTTTAATATAAGCAGAACAAATACTATAAGTGAAGTACCATTCAAAAAGAAAATTTGTTGTCCATGTATTGTACAGCTGCAGGGGAATGGACACAAGGATGAATAAAGCTTCTAAAATGTCTATCTTTCCTATTTGAGAGGGGACATTTAATGTTTCTTTAGGTTTTTGTCGAGTGTGCAACATTTGTCGCAAAAGTGAGACATAGCGATCCTACATTCCGTCGGCGGCGGCGGCTGCGTCCACAAATATTCACTCTGTGCTTAAAGTTTTTGAAATTTTAATAACTTTCTTAAACTATCCTGGATTTTTACCAAACTTGGACAGAAGCTTGTTTATGATCATAAGATAGTATCCAGAAGTAAATTTTGTAAAAAAAACATCCTGTTTATCCGTATTTTACTTATAAATGGAATGAGTTTTTCTGCCAAATAACATTACATTCACTCTGTGGTTAAAGTTTTTTTAAATTTCAATAACTTTCTTAAACTATCATGGATTTCTACCAAACTTAGACAGAAGCTTGTTTATGATCAAAAGCTAGTATCTAGAAGGAAGTTTTGTAAAAATTTATTTCCTGTTTTTCCGTATACTTCTTATAAATGGACTTAGTTTTTCTTCCAGTTAACATAACTTAAATACAGTCTGCAGTTAAAGTTTTTAAAACATTTATTAGATTCATAAACCATCCAGGTTTTTTTACCAAACTTGGATAGAAGCTTCTTACAATCAAAAAGATAGTATCTAGAGGAAAATTTTTTATAATTTTTTCCCCATTTTTGTTGAGCCTGCGACTAACAGCAAAAGTAGGCGAGACACTGGGTTCCGTGGAACCCTTACGAATTTTTCTTAATGAATAACAAAGGCAGATTGGTATTCAGTGTTATACAAAAAAAAAGTGACAAAAACTTGTGTGGCAATGGGTTGACTTGCCCTCTGTGACCATGGGTTGACCTGCCCCCTTTGGGGCCATTTATTGACTTGCCCCTTCGGTTTGGCTATGGTTTGACTTTCATCCCTTTGTGTGGCCATGGGCTAGCTTGCCCCCTTTGGGTGACAATAAGTTGCATTTCCACCTTTGTGTTAATGGCCATTGGTTGACTTGCTCTGTTTGCAGCCATGGGTTGACTTGCTCAGTTTATGAAGATGGGTTAACTTGCTCTAAGTGTGGCCATCTGTTGACTTACTCCGTTTTTGGCCAAGGACTAACTTGTTCTGTTTTTGAGCAGGTGATAAAGAGCAAAATCCAAAAGCTGTAATGTACAATAACAAACAAATTTAATCCAATATCTGCTGAAAGAAATTGAAAAGAGTGAATTATTTGTCTTTGGTTACTGACATTGATGAGTACTTTGTTGTTGATTATGTAGATTTTGTTATACATGTCCTGTATATTGTGATTAAAGCTGTATATAAGCGTGGCCATCTGTTGACTTACTCCGTTTTTGGCCAAGGACTAACTTGTTCTGTTTTTGAGCAGGTGATAAAGAGCAAAATCCAAAAGCTGTAATGTACAATAACAAACAAATGTAATCCAATATCTGCTGAAAGAAATTGAAAAGAGTGAATTATTTGTCTTTGGTTACTGACATTGATGAGTACTTTGTTGTTGATTATGTAGATTTTGTTATACATGTCCTGTATATTGTGATTAAAGCTGTATATAAGCTTCACTTCACTTATGATATTAAACCTCCTCCATTATCTTGTACTGTTGGATACCATGCTAGGCAATACAGAAGACTTTTATCATGTGACATTTGAATTAGGGCAAAGATCGATTTTGTAGCTACTGTTAAAGTCAAATGAAGTAAATCATTTATCAATAACATTATTTTTACAAATATTTTACCATTATTTGTCATGTGGGGTACCCGATACCGAGTAAAGCCATATTCTATACTTTGCAATAGGGTACATGCTGGAAAATCTCTTCATTCTTAAGACGAAAAATGTATAAAATATGGAAAAAAGCCATATCATATACCGTAATAGGACTTGTATAGTTAGCACCAGTACATTGTCCACACACCCTTCTCCCCACGAAATTTCAGGTAAAAAACCTTTTTGTAACTGTTAGAAAATGTCTACTGAAACTCCTGTAATTTCAAATCGTGTGTGGTCGTTAGTGGTATTTTCATGGAAAAAAAACTGTATTCCATCATCAAATAGAAGTTGAAACTGCTTGTAAATGATTCTACAACACTCCACGAGTGTTAAAATAAGTAAAAATCACACAAAAAATAATTAAGAAATCGTGTATGTTCAAACCGGAAGTTTGAATAGCATGTGTAAAAAGAAAATAAATCCAGTGAGTGTGTACGGTAAATCCGTACTTGAAAGATATCACTAGAATACGACTTTGAAAGTTAAGCAGTTCCATCCTTGTGTAAAATAATGTTTAATATATCTATCACAGTAATGTTTGAATAATCTTAAGCTAAAGCAAAACACATGCGTCAGTATGAAACACCAAATGGAATGAATAACCGTTTCATTTTGTAGTTCATACATCGTAAGCTGGATCTCGGTTGACTTTATACTTTATTTGTTCTGTTTAATTCAAGCAGATTTCAAGCAATGCAATGAAAAGAAATGAGAAATTTGTAATGAAGCATTTAATTTTTAAATTTATCAGTACATAACCGCTGCATTTGTTTGCACCTGTCCTAAGTCAGGAACCTGATGTTCAGTGGTTGTCGTTTGTTGATGTGGCTCATAAGTGTTACCGTTTCTTGTTTTTCATATAGATTACACAGTTGGTTTTCCTGTTTGAATGGTTTTACACTAGCCATTTTTGGGCCCTTTATAGCTTGTTGTTCGGTGTGAGCCAAGGCTCCGTGTTGAGGCCGTACTTTGATCTCTAATGATTTACTTTTACAAATTGTGACTTGGATGGAGAGTTGTCTCATTGGCACTCATACCACATCTTATATCTATAAATTTGGGGGATAATGCATAAAAATAACATATTGATATTGATTAGGTAAGACTATTAGTTTTAAAAATGATAAGAGCGCCCTCTACAATATCAGTAACAAACATGGCATAATGTAAACAAACCACCTCACGAAATTGATTTTTTCCTCATTTCTTGCTTATCATACTCTATAGTCCGCACCCCTGTCTGGCAGATCAATTTTGGAGAATAAAACCGCGTACTTTACAATCCTTTATTTGTAACAAAGGTACTAGGTTCTAGAATCCTAGCGATTATGGTCTATAGTTTGATAAAAAGCTTATAATCAGCACTACATTGGGATAGAATCAAATTACTAGCGAAACATTCTTAACACGAAATATGTTGTATGAAATATCGATAAAAAGCCATGTTCGAGTAGAAAAATGCCTTATGAATTTAAGTAAAACTTATATTCAATACAACAATATGGATACATGCTTGCGAGGCTTGGTTGTTCTAGAATCCCAGTGATTTTGAACTGTTTTTTAATAAATAGTTATTGGAAAGTACTACATGAGGATAGTATCGAATTACGACGTAAAATGTTGTATGAAATATCGAAAGAGCCATATTCTATACATTACAACAAGAGTATATCATTGCAAGTATCAGCTGTTCTAGAATCCTAGGGTTTATGATCTGTGTTTGTATGTCGTATACATTATCTGAAAAAGCCATATTGTATAGCACATTTCAGTAGGGGTACATGCCTTTTAGTCTCGGCTGAATCCAAGGGATTATGATGTTTTTAAATAAATAGCTAGTAGATAGTATAGTATTGAATTTCTTAGTAAATCCTAAACACGGATCTGTGCACTTTATTCAGTACTTAACTTTTGTTGCCCAGTCTATTTGCTTTCTTATGATATATAGGGTATACCTGTTATGAGGGGATTCAAGGGTTCAAACTTCGATCAAATCGTGCTTGGTCATGTTTTTTTTTTTGGTAAGTTCTGCCGTTTTCGGTATGTTGGCGCTCAGTAATCCTTAACCCGGATCATCGCTCTCTTTTAATACTTAACTTTTGTTGCCCAATCTATTTGCTTTCTTAGGATATATAGGATATACCTGTTATTAGGGGATTCAATGGTTCAAAACTCATCAAATCGTGCTTGATCATGTAGTTTTTCTTGGTTTAGGTTCGGCCATTTTCCGTATGTTGGCAATCAATAATCCTATTTTTTCTTTGGTAAGTTTGGCCGTTTTCGGTATGTTGACGCTCAGTAATCCTTAACCGGGATCAGTGTACTCTATTCAATACTTAACTTTTGTTGCCCAGTCTATTAGCTTTCTTGGGATATATACGCTAAATTAACCTGTTATTAGAGGATTGAAGGATCTAAAACTCGATCAAATCGTGCTTCTTAATGTGTTTTTTCTTATGTTAGGTTCGGCCGTTTTCGGTATGTTGTCAAACAATAATCCTTAACCTGGATCTGTGCATTTTATTCAGTACTTAACTTTTCTTGCCCAGTCCATTTGCTTTCTTAGGATACATAGGATATACCTTTATTAGGGGACTCAAGGGTTTGAAAACTCGATCAAATCGTGCTTGGTCATGTATTTTTTCTCTGGTAAGTTCGGCCGTTTTCGGTATGATTTCAAACGATAATCCTTAACCTGGATCTGTGCGCTTTATTCAGTACTTAACTTTTGTTCCCCAGTCCATTTGCTTTCTTACAATATATAGGATATACCTGTTATTATAGGACTCGAGGGTTTAAAACTCGATCAAACCATGCTTGCTTGGTCAGTTATTTTTTCTTTGGTAAGTTCTGCCGCGTTCGGTATGTTGGCGCTTAGTAATCCTTAACCCGGGTCAGTGCACCCTATTCAATAGTTACTGAAATTTTCTTGCCCAGTCTATTAGCTTTCTTGGGAAATATAGGATATACCTGTTATAAGAGGATTCAAGGGTTCAAAACTCGATGAAATCGTGCTTGATCATGTATTTTTTTCTAAGGTTAGGTTCGGCCGTTTTCGGTATGTTGTCAAACAATAATCCTTAACCCGGATCAGTGCACTCTATTCAATACTGAACTTTTGTTGTTCAGTCTTTTCGTTTTCTTGGGATATATACGGTATACCTGTTATTAGGAGACTCAAGGGATCAGAACTCGATCCAATCGTGCTTGGTCATGTATATTTTCTTAGGTTAGGTTCAACCGTTTTCAGTATGTTGTCAAACAATAATCCTTGACCTGGATCTGTGCACTTTTTTCAGTACTTAACTTTTGTTGCCCAGTCTATTTGATTTCTTAGGATATATAGAATATACCTATTATAAGGGGACTCAAGGGCTAAAAACTCGATCAAATCGTGCTTGGTCATGTATTTTTTCTTTGATAAGTTCGGCTGTTTTCTGTATGTTGGTGCTCAGTACTACTTAACCCGGATCAGTCCACTTTATTCAATACTTAACTTTTGTTGCCTAGTCTGTTAGCTCTCTTGGGATATATAATGGTAGGATTTAAGGGTTCAAAACTCGATCAAATCGTGCTTAGTCGTGTATTTTGTCTTAGGTTAGGTTCAGCCGTTTTCGGTATGTTGTTAAACAATAATCCTTAACTTGGATCTGTGCGCTTTATTCAGTACTTAACTTTTGTTGCCCAGTCCATTTGCTTTCTTAGGATATATAGGATATACCTGTTATTAAGTGATTCAAGATTTCAAAACTATATCAAATCTTGTTTGGTCATGTATTTTTTTCTTTGGTAAGTTCGGCCGTTTTCGGTAATTTGGCGCTCAGTGATCCTTAACCCGGATCAGTGCACTCTATTCCATACTTAACTTTTGTTGCCCAGTATATTAGCTTCCTTGGAATATATAAGGTATACCTTTTTTAGAATATTCAAGGGTTCCAAACTCGATCATATCGTGCTTGGTTATGTATTTTTTAGGTTCGGTTCGGTCATTTTGGGTATGTTGTCAATCAATAATCCTTAACCCGGATCTGTGCACTTTTTTTATCACTTAACTTTTAATGCCCAGTCCATTTGCTTTCTTATGATATATAGGATCTACTTGTTATTAGGGGATTCAAGGGCTAAAAACTCGATCATATCGTGCTTGGTCATGTATTTTTTCTTCGGTAAGTTCGACCGTTTTCGGTCTGTTGGCACTCATTAATCCTTAACCCGGATCAGTGCACTCTATTCAATACTTAACTTTTGTTGCCTAGTATATTAGCTGTCTTAGGATATATGGGGTTTACCTGTTTTTAGACGATTCAAAGGTTCAAAACTCGATTATATCGTGCTTGGTCATGTATTTTTCTTAGGTTAGGTTCGGCCTTTTTCGGTATATTGTCAATCAATTACCCTTAACCTGGATCTGTGCACTTTATTCATTACTTAACCTTTGTTGCCCAGTCCATTTGCTTTCTTAGGATATATAAGATGTACCTGTTATTAGGCGATTCAAGGGCTAAAAACTCGATCATATTGTGCTTTGTCATGTACTTTTTCTTTGGTAAGTTAGACCGTTTTCGGTATGTTGGCGCCCAGTAATCCTTAACCCGGATCAGTGTACTCTATTCAATACTTAACTTTTGTTGGCCAGTATATTAGCTTTTTCGGGATATATAGCGTATACCTGTTATTAGCAGATTCAAGGGTGCAAAACTCGATCATATCGTGCTTGGTCATGTATTTTTTATTAGGTTAGGTTCGGCCGTTTTCTGTATGTTGTCAATGAATAATCCTTAACCTGGATCTGCGAACTTTATTCAGTACATAACTTTTGTTGCCTAGTCCATTTGCTTTCTTTAGATATATAGGATATACCTGTTATTAGGGGATTCAAGGGTTAAAACTCGATTATATCGTCCTTGGTCATGTATTTTTTCTTTTGTAATTTCGACCGTTTTCGGTATGTTGGCGCTCAGTAGTCCTAAACCCGGATCAGTGCACTCTACTCAATACTTATCTTGTGTTGCCCTGTATATTAGCTTTCTTGGGATATATAGGTTATACCTGTTTTTAGAAGATTCAAGGGTGCAAATTCGATAATATAGTGATTGGTCATGTATTTTTTATTAGGTTAGGTTCGGCCGTTTTCGGTATGTTGTCGATCAATTATCCGTAACCCGGATCTGTAAACTTTATGCAGTACTTCACTTTTGTTGCCTAGTCCATTTGCTTTCTTAGGATATATAGGATATACCTGTTATTAGGGGATTCAAGGGTGCAAAACTCGATCATATCGTGCTTGGTCATGTATTTTTTCTTTGGTAAGTTCGACCGTTTTCGGTATGTTGGCGCTCAGTAATCCCTAACCCGGATCAGTGCACTCTATTCAATACTTAACTTTTGTTGCCCAGTATATTAGCTGTCTTTGGATATATAGGGTATACCTGTTTTTAGAAGATTCAAGGGTGCAAATTCGATCATATCGTCCTTGGTCATGTATTTTTTTTTAGGTACGGTTCGGCCGTTTTCGGTATGTTGTCAATCAATAATCCTTAACCCGGATCTGTGCACTTTATTCAGTACTTAACTTGTGTTGCCTAGTCCATTCGCATTCTTCGGATATATAAGTTATACCTGTTATTAGGCGATTCAAGGGCTAAAACCTCGATCATATCGTGCTAGGTCATGTATTTTTTATTAGGTTAGGTTCGGCCGTTTTCGGTATGATGTCAGTCAATAATCCTTAACCCGGATCTGTGCACTTTATTCAATACTCAACTTTTGTTGCCCAGTATATTAGCTGTCTTGGGATATATAGGGTATACCTGTTTATAGAGAATTAAAGGGTGCAAAACTCGATCATATAGTGCTTCTCATGTATTTTTTATTAGGTTAGGTTCGGCCGTTTTCGGTATGATGTCAATCAATAATCCTTAATCCGGATCTGTGCACTTTATGCTGTACTTAACTTTTGTTGCCTAGTCCATTTGCTTTCTTAGGATATATAGGATATACCTTTTATTAGGGGATTCAAGGGTTAAAAACTCGATCATATCGTGCTTGGTCATGTATTTTTTTGTTTGGTAAGTTCGACCGTTTTCGGTATGTTGACACTCAGTAATCCCACACCCGGATCAGTGCACTCTATTCAATACTTAACTTTTGTTGCCCAGTATATTAGCTGTCTTGGGATATATAGGGTATACCTGTTTTTTTAGAAGATTCAAGGGTGCAAATTCGATCATATCGTGCTAGGTCATGTATTTTTTTTAGCTACGGGTCGGCCGTTTTCGGTATGTTGTCAATCAATAATCCTTAATCCGGATCTGTGCACTTTATTCAGTACTTAACTTTTGTTGCCCAGTCCATATGCTTTCCACCGATATATAGGTTATACCTGTTATTAGGCGATTCAAGGGCTAAAAACTCGATCATATCGTGCTTGGTCATGTATTTTTTCTTTGGTAAGTTTGACCGTTTTCGGTATGTTGGCGGTCAGTTATCCTTAACCCGGATCAGTACACTCTAAATTACAAGCCAAATCCTTTCAAACTTAATAGAAAGGATAATTAGGAGACATATTTAAGAGATTCCTCATTTTGTATTGACCAGGTGACATACATGAGGCAATGATACTACACAGGTTCTATTTAATAATGAAAAATCTCCCAATGTACTTTTTTATACGACCGGAAAAAAATTTTTGTGGTCCTATATTGGTATGACGTTGGCGTCGTCGTTGTCGTCTGAAGACACATTAGTTTTCGCACTCTAACTTTAGTTTAAGTGAATGGATCTCAATGAAATTTTACCAAAAGGTTCAATACCACAAAAGGAAGGTGGGGATTGATTTTGGGGGTTATGGTATGAACAGTAAAGGAATTGGGGGCCAAAACGGGGCCAAAAATAAGCATTTTTGTAACTTCCAGACATAACTTGTGTGTAAGTGAATGGATCTCTCTGACATTGTACCACAAGGTTCCATATCACAAAAGGAATGCTGGGATTGATTTTGGGGGTAATTGCCTCCAAATTTTAGGAATATCCCAGCAAACACAAAAACATCTTTAAAATGTTTTTAAAATGTTGTGTCTAATGTCATGAAAATATCACAAAAAAACGTGAGAAAAACATTAAATGTATGGTAGAATATATATCGCTAAAACGTTTTCTAATATATTTTCTAAAATATTTGCATAATATAATTAAAATGTTGTAAAGAAATATCATGATAATGTGAAAAACAATGGTGTATAAAACATTTTGATAATCTTTTAAAAAATATTTTCTAGAAATATTTTCTGAACGTTTGAAAAACATCATGAACATCAAATTATGTTATAAAAATGTTTTTTGGATGTTTTCTTGCAAGTGAGACTGTGCCTAAAAAATGTTTTCAAAATGTTTTAAGAAGATGTTTTTGGTTAATATCTAGATCATATCAATATAAAAATGTCTGTACTTTTGATTGAGTTTCCTGCTTTTTTAAATAACAAATCATTAGTTAAATTAATTTATACACAGTGATTAATTCTATATACAAACAAGAATAAATCAGTTGTTTTGCTAAGCATATATGAAATTCACAATTCAAAGTCTCTAAAAACAAGAAGTATCTACAAATTTTGACACATCCAAAATGGCAGACACAACTCATCATGGTCAAGCCACTTACCAAATATGAAGTCATTCTGTTCATCAGCATTACTAATTAAAGTAATGAAAAATTGAGAACATTCAACATTTTGAAATACAATGTATAAGCAAACAGGAAACAGGTGCCAGATACAAAAATGTTCACACATCACAGTTCATCACTATCAAGCAGCTCATTAAATATGAACTCATCTTTATCAGCAGTTTTGGGAAAAACAGTGATGAAAATATTTGTTGGACAAAATCCGACAAATATAGGTGGACAGACAAAGACAGTGCAAGAAAGCCCACATTCCAACCACAATGGTATAATGTTTAGTTTTTCACTCTCAACTTTTATTACCTATCTTATACACATCATGCATATGTCAACCTGAACATGCATGACATATATGCCATTGGACATTATGCAAACATTATACACATTTTTAAGTTCAAGTTACATTGACTAAAACTTGTGTCCCAAATTAAGATTTTTCAATACAACTTCTCTTTCTAAACTAAAACGCTACACTTCTAATAGGGTTACATCTTAAGTCAATAATCATTGATAATTGGCTGAAGAGATGAGAACAAAACACCATTTTACATCAACTATTTGATTTATTTAAGAATACATTGAAAAAGTCAATCAATTGTCTTATTCAAAATCACTTGGAATGTCTTGTAGTGTCTTATATCTTTTTCTTGCTGTGCCATGCTTCTGAAAAAAAAAAATATCTTACATTCATATATAAACTTCTTGCATATTCCTGTATTATAGAACAATTCACCTTGCCTGAAGGATATACATCCCCTCCCCTTTAAAGTTTTGAAACAAATAACCATGATAGTCTGTCGGAAGGGGACGATAAATGGCTGACGGTGTTAAGAGAGAGCAATATGCCACGCTGAACTTCATTTAGTTATTAAAAAAAAAACACATAAAAAACTTTAGACTAGATATGTGTCCAGTCAAGAGTCTTATTTCATTATACTCGTTGATTGTTGTCCATCATATTTTTTTTCTTTTATTGTTTTGTATAAATCAGGCTGTTGTTTTTCTTGTTTTTTTTTTTAGTTTTCATTAAATGCATTGTATCATGTAGGGGCCTTTAAAAGCCCTGCTACATAATGTCATTAAACATCTTATTGTCCTTTTTAAGTGTTAAACTCTGTAGAGTGACATATTTTATAACTTGTCATTTGTATCTAAGGGCATATGATACAGTCCTAGAAGTATACTATAGGCATATAATAACTTATCGAAGTGTTACGCATTGTTTTCGCAATGATGATAATAATATAACTTAACTTCCGAGGAACACAAAGATGTCATTAAATGAGCTGTTTATATGTATTTGAAATACTTCAAAGGAAAACAAATATGATGTTTATGAAAGCACACTGTTGGACTAAAAGATTGATTTAAATAAACAACTTGTTTCTATTTTGTCACAAAAAAAATAATTTATTCAAATATCCAGATATCTTTTCTGTATTGTATGCCCTTAATCTTGAATGTAATGCATTGTTTATGCTAAATATTTGAATTAAATATGGAATAACAGTAATTCTGTATGAAAATCTTACTTCAAAAAAAAATTCTCCTGAAAGGTTGTAGACATTCCAAAGAACCTGCGCCACCAAATTGTAAACCTGCATATTGAACTTGTCCTTTGTGGCTTTTCTTTTAGCTCCTGTTCAAAAATAAAAGATACATTGTATGTACATTGTGTGTATGAAGCAATAAATATAATTTTAAGCAACAGTTTATATTATCTTGCTTGTACTGAAGTCTTACATAGTCTTTGTAATGTTCATTAAGCTGTTAAGGGAAATTTGATTTACTGTTTTGCAAATACAGTCGAACCTTGTTGTGTCGAACTCGGTTGTGTCGAAAACTCGGATGAGTCGAAGTAATTTCTCGGTCCCAGTAAAATTCCTGTTTGATCAATGCATAATAACCTCTGATGAGTCGAAGTTGGTTGATTCGAATATTCGGTTAAGTCGAGTAAATTTTATAGTCCCGTCGATGTAAAATTCATGTAAATTGACCCCGATGACTCGAAGTTCGAAAGTAAGAATTCATAAAAGATGCAGACCTAATGATAAAAATTCAAATCGGATGTATTTCTTATGTAACCTAATCATTTTCAAAAGAGATTAAAGCTGAGTAAACATACTTGTTTGTATAACAGTTAAAATGACATGTTTATGGTGACCGGTAATTAACACCTTTGGTTGATCGTTCAAGCGGAATGTTAGTGTGTTGAACATTTATCACATCAGATAAAAACAAAATCAATTTAAATGACCCAAGCTGAGATAAAATGAATGGTTAGATTTAAAACTCATTAATTAAAATAAATAAAAGGATTAGAACAATTATGATAAATTCATGATAATTTAATGTAAAGCAGACGACCTCTGGCTCACCAGAGACCGTTCATAACTTAATTCGTTCCGCGAGTGATTTCATAATTTATAGTGACTGACCTTTGTAAATATTTGTGTAGACTATTGATTTTATTTGTGCATGATTTTTATCTGTACTTGTGTGTTTAATTATTATGAAGGAACAAAAATGGAGATTGAATACACAATCATAAAGTGTCATATCGAAAAAAGGCACACTGTTCATTGTATCTAGTTTACACAAATCATACCGTATTTCATGCATTCCAAATTTATGACGACACACTTGACCTCGGATGAGTCGAACCTCGGATGTGTCGAATACTTTGGTCCGGTCCCTTCGACTTCGACACAACGAGGTTCAACTGTACATACATACACTGATTTTACTAGAAAAAAAAATCTCCATATTCAAATGGTGCTTATATGAGTGTTATTGTAACTTGCTTGTTTGTGTGCCTCGGAAACAAGGTATTGAGTTATTGCAATAGTTGTTGTTGGTTTAAGTCTGTCAAATTTCTTTTTCATAATGTGTATTTAATGTAGGCAGTTTTGTTTCAATTGTGTTGAGAAAAATTTAACATTTGTTTGTCAAGGCTTCAAAGTGGACTACATGTATATGGCATTGGTTTTCTCTGTTTTGAAAGCCGTACAGTGACCTATAATTTCTTTTATCCAAGTCATTTGAATTCTGGTGGATAGCTGTCTCATACACCTTATTGCTATTTCAGTATTTGGAAATTTGTCCTGCTTGAACATTTTACGTCAGCATACGTCATACATTATACACCTTATCGCTATTCCCCCTTGACCTGAGAATCTATCCTGCTTGAACTTTTGACGTCAAACAACAATCACTTTTCCATTGTGGTATCAGATATTTTTTATGATGACATCAAAATTTTAAGGGAACTTGTGACAGTTGTGTGATGTCCAGTAATGCCTAATGGCAGACAAATAGCGATAAGGTGTATTGCTTTCAATTGTGGTGTCAAATATTTTCTAATATGACGTCAACATTTTACAGGAACTTTTTTGATGTCCATGGCCAGTAATGGCGGACAAATAGCGATAAGGTGTATTGGCAATCAAACACATACACAAGCCACATATCCTTATAATTTTTTTATATCAATGAACAAATTCATAATTGGTGTACGTAGATGCTTGAACAGTGGCGGATTTAGGGGCCCCGACCCCCTTATGGAGCTAATTATAAGATAAATGTATAGACTATTTACAAGTATCACTCCAAACGTTTGCTTGCCTTGGGCAGGGCCCCCTTTTTTCAAAACCTTGATCCGCACCTCCAGAAACAGATGTAATTTGGTTCCGATTATGATTGAACACACACAATGAATGCACAAGTTTCATCTTAACAGATTAATCATTCTTACCAAGTGATTATATATCGCGTAACAAACAATTTTCTTGGCTCTCTTTGTTGATATCCTGTCTTCGTTTCGAAATTCAAATTTCAAAATCATTTCCGGTGATAAAACAAAAGTCGATTCCGGAAAAGGTCGGGTTTCCGTAAGGCATATAAACGATACGAAAATTGAACTTAGTACAGTTACAGTTTTCATTTCTTAATTTCTAAAATATACACGAACGAAATTAATAAATATTAAAGAAAGGTGATTGTTTATTAATACATTATTGCTTAATTTAATGTTGACTCTTTTGAATTTTAATATAAGAAGGAATAAAATCTGACTTCAAGGATCTTCAAGATATCAATTAAGGATTTCAACCATAGTATCTTGCTTGTCATGATATTGATGAAATGTAGTACTATATCTTATCCTAAAAAAAAACGAGCTAATTCCCAAAAACGTTGTTTGTGGGGTTGTGAATAAAGTTTAAATAAAATGTTATTTTATATCCGTAAAATGTTGAATAAAATATCAGTAAGACTATTAAGTAATGTGTATATCAGAATATTTTATAGAAAACATTTAGCTGATATTTTTCAGATGTTTTATGTAAAACATTTTAATTTTACGTTATAAAACATTTTATGCAAATAGCAAAACTATATTTTCTGTAAAACATTTTTTTGCAGAATGTTTTTTGGATATTTGGAAAATATTTACTTTAAATGTTGTTAAAATATAAAATACCAATTGAAGAAAATATCATTTTTTTATATTATAAAATATCTACGGGATATTTTAGAACAATGTTTGAGGACATGAATAAAAGATATTAGCAAATAATATTTTGTTAATGTTGTAAAAACATTTTACTTAAATGTTAGAAATAAAACATTTCGAAAACAATAAAATAAACATTTTTTTTATGTTTAAATGATATCTTATTGAAATATTTTGTGAGAGACGTCCATATGACATTTAAAAAATGTTTTTAAAATGTTGTGTGTTTGCTGGGATGGGGCCAAAAAGGGGCAAAAAACAAGCATTTTTCTTGTTTCATGACAATAACTTGTGTGTTAGTGTATGGATCTCTCTGACATTGTATCACAAGGTTCCATATCACAAAGGGAATGCTGGGATTGATTTTGGGGGTAATTGCCTCAAAATTTTAGGAATTAGGGGCCAAAAAGGGGCAAAAAACAAGCATTTTTCTAGATTCATGACAATAACTTGTGTGTAAGGGTATGGATCTTTATGAAATTGTATTACAAGGTTCCATATCACAAAGGGAAAGCTGGAATTGAGTTTGGGGGTAATTGACCAAAAAGCTTAGGAAGAAGGGGCCAAAAAGGGGCCAAAAATAAGCATTTTTCTAGTTTCCAGACAATAAGTTGTGTTCAAGTTTATGGATCTCTCTGAAATTGTACTGCAAGGTACCATACCACAAAGGGAAGGCTGGGATTGATGTTGGGGGTAATTCCCTCAAAATTTTAGGAATAAGGGGCCATAAAAGGGCAAAAAAACAAGCATTTTTCTAGTTTCAGGACGATAACTTGTGTGTTAGTGTATGGATCTTTATGAAATTGTACTGCAAGGTTCCATATCACAAAGGAAAAGCTGGGTTTGAGTTTTGGGGGTAATTGCTCTAAAGGTTTAGGAATTTGGGGCCAAAAAGTTTCCAGACAATAACTTGTGTTCAAGTGTATGGATCTCTCTGAAATTGTACTGCAAGGTACCATACAACAAAGGGAAGGCTGGGATTGAGATTGGGGGTGATGAATCATAAGGGGGTTCAAAAAATTTGGGGGGGGGGGAGGATTTTTTTTTCCTTTTTTTTCTTTAGAATTTTCCATTTTAAATTGGTTATTTCTGATTTATATATAAAAGCAAATAATAATGATATGGTTTGAATAGGTAAATTAAAACTTTTTAAGTTCTTAGACCACTTTCATTCTGTGTCAGAAACCTATGCTGTGTCAAATATTTAATTACAATCCAAATTCAGTGCTGTATCAAGCTTGAATGTTGGGTCCATACTTGCCCCAACTGTTCAGTGTTCGACCTCTGCGGTCGTATCAAGCTGCGCCCCAATGGAGCATTTTATTCTCTAAAGCTACAGAGGCAATCTAAACCAAACCAAAAAATACTTATGGAGAATTATAGATTCAAATACTAAATGTCCTGTTGAAAATATGGCTGACAGATACAATTCTTGATTCTGACTGGTTAATTTTTATACGACCGCAAACATTTTTTTGAGTTCGTATAATGGTATGATGTCGTTTTCGTCTGCTTCGTCGTCCGAAGACACATTGGTTTCCGGACAATAACTTTAGTTTAAGTGAATGGATCCTATGAAATTTTTTAATAAGGTTCAACACCACAAAAGGAAAGTTGGAATTGATTTTGGGGATGATGGTCCCAACCGTTTAGGAATTAGGGGCCCAAAACAAGCCATTTTTATACGACCGCAAACAAATTTTGCGGTCGTATATTGGTATGACATTGGCGTCGTCGTCGTCGTCCGAAGACAAATTGGTTTTCGCACTCTAACTTTAGTTTAAGTGAATGGAGTTCTATGAAATTTTACCATAAGGTTCAATACCACAAAAGAAAGGTTGGGATTGATTTTGGGGGTTATGGTACCAACAGTTGAGGAATATGGGGCCAAAAAGGGGCCAAAAATCTTCCAGACATAACTTGTGTGTTAGTGTATGGATCTCTCTGAAATTGCACTGCAAGGTCCCATACTACAAAGGGAATGCTGGGATTGATTTTGGGGGTAATTGCCTCAAAATTGTAGGAATTAAGGGCCAAAAAGGGGCAAAAAAATAAGCATTTTTCTAGTTTCCAGACAATAACTTGTGTGTAAGTGTATGGATCTCTCTGAAATTGTACTACAAGGTTCCATACTACAAAGGAAAGGCTGGGATTGAGTTTTGGGGTTATTGCTCAGAGGGGGGTTTCAAAAAGTTGGGGAGGGGCGGGGGATTTTTAAGGGATTCATACTTTTTTTCAAAATTTTTAAAATTAAAGTTTCAAGAAGAAATCTTCAATTGCACAGTATTGCGCAATGGATTTATAAGATCTTTGACCACATTTATTTTGTGTCAGAAACCTATATTATGTCAAAAATTTGATCACAATCCAAATTCCGACAGTATCAAGCTTGATAATTGTGTCCAAATTTGCCCCAACTGTTCAGGGTTCGACCTCTGCGGTCGTATCAGGCTGCGCTCAGTGAAGCATTTTATTATATTTCTTTGACTGGTCTTCTCTGAAACTATGAAGCCATTTCTGTATAGGAATGTAAATATGCATTTATTCCTTGTTTCATGCTATAGAGTTTGATATGTGGCAGCAATTATGCAACATAGGTTCTTACTGTAAGCACATGAATAATGAGCTGCAGATTTGTCATTATTAATGTATGTAATACTTCAAGAGTGTTTGATTTTATTCTGATAAGCTGTAAAAATTAGCGGTATCAGGCAATTCTTTGTTCTGATTTTTCAGTTTTCATATTTCTGTCGTGAAACAAATCTAGTATGGGTTGTGCTCATTGTTGAAGGCTGTACAGTGACCTATAGTCGTGAACTTCTATGTCATTTGGTCTCTGGTGGAGTTGTCTCATTGGCAATCATACCACATCTTCTCATTTTTATAGAAAAGTAAATAATTTCAAACCTGATAGGAATGATTGAGAAACCCTGCTTAAAGAATATTTATATTGGTCAGTTGGTATACAGTGGCCATTGTTATTTATAGATCCAGGTGAAGGAAAAAGTCCCTATTTTATTTTATATTGGTCAGTTGGTATACATTGGCCATTGTTGTTTATAGATCCAGGTGAAGAAAAAGTCCCTAGAGTCAATTGTTATATGCATGAGGTAAACATAGATTTCTTGAAAATATTTTTTTTAAATCCAAGAAAAGTCATTCCAATTCTGACTGAAAATAATCCTGTCTTTTATGTTTTTCAGTATGGGCAGTGGAGGATAACAAGTGATGAGGAAGAGAAGAAATATTGGAATAAGAAACATTTTGTTGTAGATAGTTGTTTACAGTCATCTCATCTCACTCTCCATCTTACAATCATAAAACTAGAAATATGTAATTGATATACATGAAACAAATTTGTACACATTCCGTGATCCTTGTTAGGGATTTTTAAACTAAACATAATGCTTGTAGCATGAGTTTTGTCCATGCAATATATGGTTATTATTTATATCTATATATATATATATATATATATATATATATAAGATATAATTAAGTATTCTTGACTATTGATCTGTCAAGTGTCATGAAATAGTTGGATCGTGGTTTTGCTAACAATTTTGACAATTTTACATTTTCCCTTTGAAACACCGTTTGTGCCCTTAAAAGTGAATTTAAGTTTTGCCAGAAGAACACCATGATATATTACAACATTTGTACCAAGCATATAAACAGACTTTAGACATATATATTCCATGACTATTGTCACAAAGAACATATTATCAAAGAAGAATTATTTATTCATGTCGGCAAATCTTTTTATTTAGTACATGCATAATTCTTCAATACTGTTATATTCAATAGTGTTAGATAACTCTTCAATACTGTTATATTCAATAGTGTTAGATAACTCTTCAATACTGTTCTATTCTGTAGTGTTAGATAACTCTTCAATACTGTTATATTCAATAGTGTTAGATAACTCTTCAATACTGTTCTATTCTGTAGTGTTAGATAACTCTTCAATACTGTTGTATTCAATAGTGTTAGATAACTCTTCAATACTGTTCTATTCTGTAGTGTTAGATAACTCTTCAATACTGTTGTATTCAATAGTGTTAGATAACTCTTCAATACTGTTATATTCAATAGTGTTAGATAACTCTTCAATACTGTTATATTCAATAGTGTTAGATAACTCTTCAATACTGTTCTATTCAATAGTGTTAGATAACTCTTCAATACTGTTATATTCAATAGTGTTAGATAACTCTTCAATACTGTTATATTCAATAGTGTTAGATAACTCTTCAATACTGTTATATTCAATAGTGTTAGATAACTCTTCAATACTGTTATATTCAATAGTGTTAGATAACTCTTCAATACTGTTATACTCAATAGTGTTAGATAACTCTTCAATACTGTTATATTCAATAGTGTTAGATATGCATTTTTGCTGAGTAATGGAGGATAATCAGAATCATATTTTTAATATGCCAAAACCTTTTATGATTACTCAATTTAAACTTGACTGAAAAACTTGCTAAATACTAAAAAGCGTTTCTTTTTATGTTTTAGTTTTTCACACAAATTATGCCTGTATGGCCAAAGATATATACTCAACATCTGAAGTAAAAAGAATTAAACAGTTTTATAAATTAACATTAACCAGATCATTTACTGAGCAAAAAAGTAAAAAAATAAATGAGGGAAGCTGATCAAATCAATTTTAAAGCAGCATCTTGCCATCTACCCAACAACAATGGTTGAAAGATCTGACCATTTTGTAATGTTATAAGTTAATCAGAACATTTTAAACAACTATTTCTTTTGTGAATGATTTTTCTTGATCTCTTAATTTTGAAATGACAATTGATCGTTATTGAGGTTCTTCATTAGGCTTTGATGAAAGCATTTTTTCATTCCCAAGATTAACCACAAATTGTGCATGAGTATAGAGTCATACTTGAATATTTGATTGTGTGATTACCAAGGCAAACCATTGTGACTATTGGAGAATATGATAACCCTTGTCAAAGGCCATGACTTGTTGATTATCTGTTTAATTGGGTTGCTTACTTAATTTATGCGACTTGGTTGTGATAGTAATAGAAAGATTTGATAGTTAAAATCACATTTTGTTTGTATTATCAAGGTGTTTAAAAGTGCTGCTAATTTGTCCTTCAAGGTATAAAACAAAATTCTGTTATCAATTTAAGCTGTCAAGCAGAATAATCTTAAAGAAATATAGATACAAATTAAAATTATTTCGATAAAAGAGCAAAACGATCTTGATGAAATGAAATATTGTTATTAACATATATGTATGACTGGTTTAGATTTTATACTCTGGAATCACCTTTTTCCCATAGATTATTCATTTATTTAATATAATTTAATGATTATTTTTAATATAAATTCTTGTATTTTATTTGATGAAGCAAAAATAAACACTTTTAAGATGGGCAAATAAGTTTGAGACTTTATCAAATTAATATATATCATACATTTTTAGTACATGTGTTTCTAAGTTCTTGTTAGCTTAAGTGTGGTAAACACAAGTAAAGATATGAATGTTATAATTTATTGTATGCTTACAATTGAAAGTTTATTGTTAATTTTGATGACAGATTATTTATTGTTGATCCAGTGCTTATTATAATCAACCCTGTAATTATGTACATTTATAATGGCTGTATTTATTTGCCTTATGTTCAATGCAAATCTTTGCATGTAATTTGTGCAAGGAATATATCATGTCCTTAACCAATCTTGGTATCTTCAACCTCTTTAATCCTTGGATCTATCCTGTTATTTCTTTTTTTATTTTAAATTTGCATAACATTTGTGCAACTATAAGGGATTAAAAGAAACAATTTTGCAGGGATAAAAGTAATATTAGTAGTATTAAAATAAAATATTTTTTTCCAAATCAACATTTAATATATCTGTATAATTCACAGTAAAAAAACATATTGTAGAACATTTTCTTTCAAAAGTAAGTATATATGATGAATGTGGAGGAAATGAAATTGGACTTTATTGAATGCTGAAACAACATGTTTCTCATTCTCCACTATTGTATATAGTATGTTAGAAAAACTCATTCACAGAAATCCTTTGAAACCTTGAACATGTATTGAAAAGATGAACATATGATATGTCAAGCTGTGTGCTTTTTATCATTGAGCAAATAATGTCCATTTGGAATCATATATATATTAGAAGTTAAATTGTATATGATGTTTTATGGAGAGACATTAATGATGTAAAACCATTATATACAAGTTATTAATAAGAAATGACCCTTTTTTGATTATAGCTATTGGAAGAATAAATGACGAATGTACAGAATGTTTGAGGAAAATATTTAAGACACAAATATCTGTTTTATTTAGTCTGGACTAACTCAATGGCAAAATGTTTCTCTTCCAAGATATACAAGATATTTCTAACAAAATTTAAAAAAAAAATACATGACTGGTTAGTTTAAACATATTTTATTGTTCAAAAGACAAATGGATTAGACACTAGTTTTTGTCAACCTGACAAGTTGAAGTTTATACAGCAGTCATTCAGAATGTCTGTCAGACATCAGCAAATTTCTTCTAAGAATTTGATTAAAAGCAAAAATTAATAGAACCTTTAAATTACATCTGTTAATGTTATTTAAGGATGTACTTAGGTCAGGTTTAGGAATTTTTGTCAGATTTTCGGACTCCTTGGTTTTTTTCCTACGGTACAGGGTAAAATATTTTGCCCCATAACACCCATTTTTCTTTTCATATAAGACTTCAATAGCTCATAAAAGGTCATTTACCAAAATTTAAGCAGATTCTAAATACATTCTTAAAAACATTTAATGCAGAACAGACTGAGTTTCCAGTAAAAATAAATTACCACCTAAATCATTAATGAAAATAAAAGTAGATAGTGAAACTAGGGATTACATTTATCAGGTCCAGTCATTAGGATGGTGCAATGTTATTTAGTAGAATTTTTTCTTGTCAGTCCCACTTCATTTAATCACATCATCAGAATAGAGTGTATGTATATTTACTTTTAAAAGAATTACATGTACATGTATATCACTAGGATAATTTTGTAGTAGGTAGCATATTCCTGTTCTATTTATTTTCATGTAAATTTTTAAGTGAGGATTTGAACGTTCCTGATTATCAATCCAAATGTAAATTTGTATGAATGTGATTATTTTGAATGTACTCTGAAAATGATTGAACTGTTTTGTTTTGTTTTTCCTTAGTTTTTGCAAATATTTTAGATATTTTTATTCTTCATACAGAGTTGATTAACTGTATGCGTGATACTTAACTGTTCAGTTCTATGATAGAGAAAAGGTATCTGTTAAAAATTTGAATGTAGAATTAATCTCAAAATTTGAGGGTTTTATTTATATTTGATATTAATTTTGTTAATTTCTTGGGTACGGACAGTGCAGATGATTCTACAAAATGTAGATTTTTTCATTTGCCTTTAATATAAGCAGAACAAATACTATAAGTGAAGTACCATTCATAAAGAAAATTTGTTGTCCATGTATTGTACAGCTGCATCCTTAAGGGGAATGGACACAAGGATGAATAAAGCTTCTAAAATGTCTATCTTTCCTATTTGAGAGGGGACATTTAATGTTTCTTTAGGTTTTTGTCGAGTGTGCAACATTTGTCGCAAAAGTGAGACATAGCGATCCTACATTCCGTCGGCGGCGGCGGCTGCGTCCACAAATATTCACTCTGTGGTTAAAGTTTTTGAAATTTTAATAACTTTCTTAAACTATCCTGGATTTCTACCAAACTTGGACAGAAGCTTGTTTATGATCATAAGATAGTATCCAGAAGTAAATTTTGTAAAAAAAACATCCTGTTTATCCGTATTTTACTTATAAATGGAATGAGTTTTTCTGCCAAATAACATTACATTCACTCTGTGGTTAAAGTTTTTTTAAATTTCAATAACTTTCTTAAACTATCATGGATTTCTACCAAACTTAGACAGAAGCTTGTTTATGATCAAAAGCTAGTATCTAGAAGGAAGTTTTGTAAAAATTTATTTCCTGTTTTTCCGTATATTTCTTATAAATGGACTTAGTTTTTCTTCCAGTTAACATTACTGAAATACAGTCTGCAGTTAAAGTTTTTAAAACATTTATTAGATTCATAAACCATCCAGGTTTTTTTACCAAACTTGGATAGAAGCTTCTTACAATCAAAAGATAGTATCTAGAGGAAAATTTTTTATAATTTTTTCCCCATTTTTGTTGAGCCTGCGACTAACAGCAAAAGTAGGCGAGACACTGGGTTCCGTGGAACCCTTACGAATTTTTCTTAATGAATAACAAAGGCAGATTGGTATTCAGTGTTATACAAAAAAAAGTGACAAAAACTTGTGTGGCAATGGGTTGACTTGCCCTCTGTGACCATGGGTTGACCTGCCCCCTTTGGGGCCATTTATTGACTTGCCCCTTCGGTTTGGCTATGGGTTGACTTTCATCCCTTTGTGTGGCCATGGGCTAGCTTGCCCCCTTTGGGTGACAATAAGTTGCATTTCCACCTTTGTGTTAATGGCCATTGGTTGACTTGCTCTGTTTGCAGCCATGGGTTGACTTGCTCAGTTTATGAAGATGGGTTAACTTGCTCTAAGTGTGGCCATCTGTTGACGTACTCCTTTTTTGGCCAAGGACTAACTTGTTCTGTTTTTGAGCAGGTGATAAAGAGCAAAATCCAAAAGCTGTAATGTACAATAACAAACAAATTTAATCCAATATCTGCTGAAAGAAATTGAAAAGAGTGAATTATTTGTCTTTGGTTACTGACATTGATGAGTACTTTGTTGTTGATTATGTAGATTTTGTTATACATGTCCTGTATATTGTGATTAAAGCTGTATATAAGCGTGGCCATCTGTTGACTTACTCCGTTTTTGGCCAAGGACTAACTTGTTCTGTTTTTGAGCAGGTGATAAAGAGCAAAATCCAAAAGCTGTAATGTACAATAACAAACAAATGTAATCCAATATCTGCTGAAAGAAATTGAAAAGAGTGAATTATTTGTCTTTGGTTACTGACATTGATGAGTACTTTGTTGTTGATTATGTAGATTTTGTTATACATGTCCTGTATATTGTGATTAAAGCTGTATATAAGCTTCACTTCACTTATGATATTAAACCTCCTCCATTATCTTGTACTGTTGGATACCATGCTAGGCAATACAGAAGACTTTTATCATGTGACATTTGAATTAGGGCAAAGATCGATTTTGTAGCTACTGTTAAAGTCAAATGAAGTAAATCATTTATCAATAACATTATTTTTACAAATATTTTACCATTATTTGTCATGTGGGGTACCCGATACCGAGTAAAGCCATATTCTATACTTTGCAATAGGGTACATGCTGGAAAATCTCTTCATTCTTAAGACGAAAAATGTATAAAATATGGAAAAAAGCCATATCATATACCGTAATAGGACTTGTATAGTTAGCACCAGTACATTGTCCACACACCCTTCTCCCCACGAAATTTCAGGTAAAAAAACTTTTTGTAACTGTTAGAAAATGTCTACTGAAACTCCTGTAATTTCAAATCGTGTGTGGTCGTTAGTGGTATTTTCATGGAAAAAAAACTGTATTCCATCATCAAATAGAAGTTGAAACTGCTTGTAAATGATTCTACAACACTCCACGAGTGTTAAAATAAGTAAAAATCACACAAAAAATAATTAAGAAATCGTGTATGTTCAAACCGGAAGTTTGAATAGCATGTGTAAAAAGAAAATAAATCCAGTGAGTGTGTACGGTAAATCCGTACTTGAAAGATATCACTAGAATACGACTTTGAAAGTTAAGCAGTTCCATCCTTGTGTAAAATAATGTTTAATATATCTATCACAGTAATGTTTGAATAATCTTAAGCTAAAGCAAAACACATGCGTCAGTATGAAACACCAAATGGAATGAATAACCGTTTCATTTTGTAGTTCATACATCGTAAGCTGGATCTCGGTTGACTTTATACTTTATTTGTTCTGTTTAATTCAAGCAGATTTCAAGCAATGCAATGAAAAGAAATGAGAAATTTGTAATGAAGCATTTAATTTTTAAATTTATCAGTACATAACCGCTGCATTTGTTTGCACCTGTCCTAAGTCAGGAACCTGATGTTCAGTGGTTGTCGTTTGTTGATGTGGCTCATAAGTGTTACCGTTTCTTGTTTTTCATATAGATTACACAGTTGGTTTTCCTGTTTGAATGGTTTTACACTAGCCATTTTTGGGCCCTTTATAGCTTGTTGTTCGGTGTGAGCCAAGGCTCCGTGTTGAGGCCGTACTTTGACCTCTAATGATTTACTTTTACAAATTGTGACTTGGATGGAGAGTTGTCTCATTGGCACTCATACCACATCTTATATCTATAAATTTGGGGGATAATGCATAAAAATAACATATTGATATTGATTAGGTAAGACTATTAGTTTTAAAAATGATAAGAGCGCCCTCTACAATATCAGTAACAAACATGGCATAATGTAAACAAACCACCTCACGAAATTGATTTTTTCCTCATTTCTTGCTTATCATACTCTATAGTCCGCACCCCTGTCTGGCAGATCAATTTTGGAGAATAAAACCGCGTACTTTACAATCCTTTATTTGTAACAAAGGTACTAGGTTCTAGAATCCTAGCGATTATGGTCTATAGTTTGATAAAAAGCTTATAATCAGCACTACATTAGGATAGAATCAAATTACTAGCGAAACATTCTTAACACGAAATATATTGTATGAAATATCGATAAAAAGCCATGTTCGAGTAGAAAAATGCCTTATGAATTTAAGTAAAACTTATATTCAATACAACAATATGGATACATGCTTGCGAGGCTTGGTTGTTCTAGAATCCCAGTGATTTTGAACTGTTTTTTAATAAATAGTTATTGGAAAGTACTACATGAGGATAGTATCGAATTACGACGTAAAATGTTGTATGAAATATCGAAAGAGCCATATTCTATACATTGCAACAAGAGTATATCCTTGCAAGTATCGGCTGTTCTAGAATCCTAGGGTTTATGATCTGTGTTTGTATGTCGTATACATTATCTGAAAAAGCCATATTATATAGCACATTTCAGTAGGGGTACATGCCTTTTAGTCTCTGCTGAATCCAAGGGATTATGATGTTTTTAAATAAATAGCTAGTAGATAGTATAGTATTGAATTTCTTAGTAAATCCTAAACACGGATCTGTGCACTTTATTCAGTACTTAACTTTTGTTGCCCAGTCTATTTGCTTTCTTATGATATATAGGGTATACCTGTTATGAGGGGATTCAAGGGTTCAAACCTCGATCAAATCGTGCTTGGTCATGTTTTTTTTTTTTGGTAAGTTCTGCCGTTTTCGGTATGTTGGCGCTCAGTAATCCTTAACCCGGATCATAGCTCTCTTTTAATACTTAACTTTTGTTGCCCAATCTATTTGCTTTCTTAGGATATATAGGATATACCTGTTATTAGGGGATTCAATGGTTCAAAACTCATCAAATCGTGCTTGATCATGTAGTTTTTCTTGGTTTAGGTTCGGCCATTTTCCGTATGTTGGCAATCAATAATCCTATTTTTTCTTTGGTAAGTTTGGCCGTTTTCGGTATGTTGACGCTCAGTAATCCTTAACCGGGATCAGTGTACTCTATTCAATACTTAACTTTTGTTGCCCAGTCTATTAGCTTTCTTTGGATATATACGCTAAACCTGTTATTAGAGGATTGAAGGATCTAAAACTCGATCAAATCGTGCTTCTTAATGTGTTTTTTCTTAGGTTAGGTTCGGCCGTTTTCGGTATGTTGTCAAACAATAATCCTTAACCTGGATCTGTGCATTTTATTCAGTACTTAACTTTTCTTGCCCAATCCATTTACTTTCTTAGGATACATAGGATATACCTTTATTAGGGGACTCAAGGGTTTGAAAACTCGATCAAATCGTGCTTGGTCATGTATTTTTCTCTGGTAAGTTCGGCCGTTTTCAGTATGATTTCAAACGATAATCCTTAACTTGGATCTGTGCGCTTTATTCAGTACTTAACTTTTGTTCCCCAGTCCATTTGCTTTCTTACAATATATAGGATATACCTGTTATTATAGGACTCGAGGGTTCAAAACTCGATCAAACCATGCTTGGTCAGTTATTTTTTCTTTGGTAAGTTCAGCCGCGTTCGGTATGTTTGCGCTTAGTAATCCTTAACCCGGATCAGTGCACCCTATTCAATAGTTACTGAAATTTTCTTGCCCAGTCTATTAGCTTTCTTGGGAAATATAGGATATACCTGTTATAAGAGGATTCAAGGGTTCAAAGATATATTTTTTCTTCGGTAAGTTCGACCGTTTTCGGTCTGTTGGCACTCATTTATCCTTAACCCGGATCAGTGCACTCTATTCAATACTTAACTTTTGTTGCCGAGTATATTAGCTGTCTTAGGATATATGGGGTTTACCTGTTTTTAGACGATTCAAAGGTTCAAAACTCGATTATATCGTGCTTGGTCATGTATTTTTCTTAGGTTAGGTTCGGCCTTTTTCGGTATATTGTCAATCAATTACCCTTAACCTGGATCTGTGCACTTTATTCATTACTTAACCTTTGTTGCCCAGTCCATTTGCTTTCTTAGGATATATAAGATGTATCTGTTATTAGGCGATTCAAGGGCTAAAAACTCGATCATATTGTGCTTTGTCATGTACTTTTTCTTTGGTAAGTAGACCGTTTTCGTTATGTTGGCGCCCAGTAATCCTTAACCCGGATCAGTGTACTCTATTCAATACTTAACTTTTGTTGGCCAGTATATTAGCTTTTTCGGGATATATAGCGTATACCTGTTATTAGCAGATTCAAGGGTGCAAAGCTCGATCATATCGTGCTTGATCATGTATTTTTTATTAGGTTAGGTTCGGCCGTTTTCTGTATGTTGTCAATGAATAATCCTTAACCTGGATCTGCGAACTTTATTCAGTACATAACTTTTGTTGCCTAGTCCATTTGCTTTCTTTAGATATATAGGATATACCTGTTATTAGGAGATTCAAGGGTAAAATCTCGATCATATCGTCCTTGGTCATGTATTTTTTCTTTTGTAATTTCGACCGTTTTTGGTATGTTGGCGCTCAGTAGTCCTTAACCCGGATCAGTGCACTCTACTCAATACTTATCTTGTGTTGCCCAGTATATTAGCTTTCTTGGGATATATAGGTTATACCTGTTTTTAGAAGATTCAAGGGTGCAAATTCGATCATATAGTGATTGGTAATGTATTTTTTATTAGGTTAGGTTCGGCCGTTTTCGGTATGTTGTCGATCAATAATCCGTAACCCGGATCTGTAAACTTTATGCAGTACTTCACTTTTGTTGCCTAGTCCATTTGCTTTCTTAGGATATATACGATATACCTGTTATTAGGGGATTCAAGGGTGCAAAACTCGATCATATCGTGCTTGGTCATGTATTTTTTCTTTGGTAAGTTCGACCGTTTTCGGTATGTTGGCGCTCAGTAATCCCTAACCCGGATCAGTGCACTCTATTCAATACTTAACTTTTGTTGCCCAGTATATTAGCTGTCTTGGGATATATAGGGTATACCTGTTTTTAGAAGATTCAAGGATGCAAATTCGATCATATCGTCCTTGGTCATGTATTTTTTTTTTAGGTACGGTTCGGCCGTTTTCGGTATGTTGTCAATCAATAATCCTTAACCCGGATCTGTGCACTTTATTCAGTACTTAACTTTTGTTGTCCAGTATATTAGCTGTCTTGGGATATATAGGGTATACCTGTTATTAGGGGATTCAAGGGCTAAAACCTCGATAATAACGTGCTAGGTCATGTATTTTTTATTAGGTAAGGTTCGGCCGTTTTCGGTATGATGTCAGTCAATAATCCTTAACCCGGATCCGTGCACTTTATTCAATACTCAACTTTTGTTGCCCAGTATATTAGCTGTCTTGGGATATATAGGGTATACCTGTTTATAGAGAATTAAAGGGTGCAAAACTCGATCATATAGTGCTTCTCATGTATTTTTTATTCGGTTAGGTTCGGCCGTTTTCGGTATGATGTCAGCCAATAATCCTTAATCCGGATCTGTGCACTTTATGCT